GTTGTTTTTTAAAATGTAGTTTTTCTTTATGCCCCACTGACATAATTTAGATAATTTAGGAGACCCTGCCTGTCAGGGCCAACATCCCAGCAAAAAGACCGAAATACACGAAAAAATCTGTTAACAAACACAGACGAGGGCGTGTGAAGGCGTCACAATTTGGCAGCCTACTTCTTCAAGACTTGAACAAAATATTTCTTAAACTAAACACCATACGCAGAAGCCTATTTAGAAAAAAAAAACATACTCGATAAAAGGGGCTCTGTTAAGATTAATAGCATTCACTACAAACTTGAACATACAAGAAAACATGGAGACAATCAAATGTCATTGGGAAAAAAAACCTTCTCTAGAAACCATTACATTTTCCTCCAGAAACTATGTTACGTTTCCCTCAAGTCTCCACAAACCATTACTCTTCCTTCTACAAACTGTAACTTTTCCTCCACAGACTATGATGCTTTCCCTCACACAAACTGTTACTTTTTCTCCACAAATTATGAGTTTTTCCCTCACAAAAACCATTACTTTTCCTCCACAAACAGTTACTTTCCCTCCACTAACAGTAACTTTTCCCTCAACAGAATATGAGTGTCTCCCCCCCCCCTAAAAAAAACCCCCATTACTTTTCCCACAATTTGTCCCCTGCCCCAAGCCCCACAATGACTCACCCTCTTGTAGTAGTTCTTTATCTTGGAGGCCATCCCGACCTGCATCATGAGGGGAGGGAACTCCTCCGAGTACTCGGCCAGAATTATCTCCCCGTCCATCCCCGTCAGATCCTGGGGCGTCCTCATGAAGAATATCTCCCCTCCTCCGAACGCCTGCCTCTCCTGCTCCCTCACCTGCAACGTATGGTTTACAGATTTCTAGAAACACTTACAGAAACGTAGTAAGACTTACAGTAAGATTTACAGAACCTTACTAAGATTTACAGAACCTTAGTAAGGTTTACAGAACCTTAATAAGATTTACAGAACCTTAGTAAGATTTACAGAACCGCAGTAAGATTTACAGTAAGATTTACAGAACCTTAGTAAGATTTACAGTAAGATTTACAGAACCTATACGTTTATTCATTTCTCTGATAGTGAGTCTTTCCGTTTATTCATTTCTCTGACTTCACGACTCAACTTGGCTTTGCGTTTATTCATTTCTCCGACTTCACGAACCTTGGCTTTTCGTTTATTCATTTCTCTGACTTCACGACTCACCTTGGCTTTGCGTTTATTCATTTATCTGATTGAATGACTCTTCGTAGCTTCATGTTTATTCATGTAACTGACTGACTGACTTCACGACTCACCTTGGCCTTCCGTTTGATCACTTTGTTGAGACTCTGGACGGGGTGTGGGCCAAAGGTGGAGAGTGGGCCGTGGGAATATTTCTTGAGCGGGGGTCGGTGGAAGGTCCTCAGCTTGTTGGTGCCCATGTAGGTCGGGAAGAACGGTTGTCTCAGCTCGGCCGCTGGGGTCGAGTGCTGGGGCAGACGAAAAAGTTTTTTTTGCTTGTTTCGTTTTGTTTTTTTAAATAGTTTTAGTAAGAGTTTTACAGCACTTTCAACATAATAAAGTTATGTAAGTGCCGAAGATTAGAGGCGTTACAAGAGAGTAACAAACACAAAAAAAGAAGGAGGGGAGATAGAGACGATAGAACTTCCATAGGAAAGAGAAGCAAGCCCCACCACAGCACCCGCCAACCACTCACTTGTTGGGGTTATTTTTATGTAGGTGTTTTTTACACCCTCTTCTACATAATTTAGATCATTTAGGGGAGCGAGCTTCCCATCCTGTCAGTCAGGGCAAACCGTGGCTGAGAGGACGATAGATATTAAAAAGGAGAGAAGGAAGACACCACATCAGAACACCCAACAATTACCCACACCCAAACAGTGAAAACTTTCCAGTAATCAGTTTTCAGAAAGCAACAGAACAGTAATTATCAGGACACAATTTCCAACCTTTACATGACATTGTTGAACAATTTCTTTTCTACTTTATCTGAATTTTAAGCAAAAATCAACTTCCTAAAATGATTGAGCACAAAGAACAAGCAGTTCGACATCGACAGAACCACTTCTCCTGGTGGGTACATGGACTCAGTGCTATAACTATGAGCTCTCAGCCATCGCACGCACAATATACGAGTTCAATCCTACGTGAAGGAAGTTATTTCATCAAGAGTCTCCATCTGTCTGCTGGGACCTCACTCATACTCATATCCCACTCTTAGTTTTTAGTTTTAGTTAGAGTTTTACGGCGCTCACAACTGCATAAGGTCATATGAGCGTGCGAAAAAAAGGTTGGTCCTATTCGCACCAGTACACTGTACAGCCAGACTCTGGTCAACATCTCCATCAACAAGCTAAAATGCTACAAATTTGATTTAAATAAATTAATTTAAAACAATTTTTCAAACAACATTAAAAATGTTAAACAGTCCCATTCACAACTTCCCATATCCTACCCTGCCAACATTGACCTTGACAAGGTAAGTCACCGCAGCCAACCTCTCAAATGAGCTAGGCCGTGTCAGTTGGGGGGGATTTCTGCCGAAAGCTGACAAAACGCATTTTTTTCATTTTGGCGCAAACATTTTTTATTTGCTTAATCGAAAGCCGGATCAGCTACCCTACTTGTGGGGAAAAATCCAAATGAAACTGTGACTAGGTTATGAATAAATCAGAATTCAAATTTCGAAATCATTATTTTTAAATGGTTACGCTGACAAAAAGACCTTTTTTTTCTCAAAATTGCCGTGAAGAAAAAAGGCGTATTGTCAGCTTATGGCAGATTCCCCCACCCGGGATGAACATGTGGCCAGGGGTACCTGTATGACGGAGCTGCCGATGTTGGGCCTGAGCGCGTTGTCCATCTGTTTGGGGCTGTAGTACTCGTCGTTCGACAGGTTGAACACGTCTTTGGCGTTGACCGCGTTGGGAACCTGGCAGACGGCAAAACAGACGCGCCATTGTTTGTTTTATTTTTATTTTTTATGGTAGAGGGTTTTACGGCGCTCACAACTGCATAAGGTCATATGAGCGCCAAGGGGTGGGTGTCAACAGAGAAGTCTTTACAGAGAATAAGACTTAGACTAGCAGTGACATACAGTCTGTCCAAGACAAGCAGTGACATACAGTTTGTCCAAGACAAGCAGTGACATACAGTTTGTCCAAGACAAGCAGTGACATACAGTTTGTCCAAGAAAAGCAGTGATATAGTCTGTC